GTAGCCATGATGGAAAATGTGTCCTATTTTTAATCTTAACAATTTCAGTTTGTGAATGTATAATCAGGAACATAAGAAGGCATTTTACTTAAGTTAGATCAGTCCACTGTAGAATCTCTCTGTGAAAGAGATGGGCAATTCTTAAATATGACAATTAGTTTAGGTGATAATAGTAGTCATAGAAGAATCAAAAGCTACCTTTAAGCAGTTTATCTTACTTTGAAACCATTATTTAAAACCATTGTGTAATACTCGGTTAGTAAACTTGTTCATAAGATTTGTGCTTTTGCATGACATTGTTGAGCATTCTTAGCTTTTGAATGCACGGACCACAGTTTAGCCTTCTATATATACATGGATGGCACTTTTATATATACAGTTTATAACCAAGGCCAAAGGACTGCTAGGTGTTTTTGGCCTCCCATTCCTGAAGCCAAGCACATTTTCCAGCATTTCCCATCAAAACCCAGGCCGTGACTTGAAACAATAGTAGTGATTCCAACCAGGTACAAAAATAAAGCTGCCGCGTTTGTATAGAGAGAGTGGCATTGTCTCTTGGAAATAGTTTGTCACACAAAAAAGGCGCCAAGTGCTCAAACGTGTTGATTTTAAAAAAAGAAATTGGCTAATTGGCCTGTTAAAAGCACCTGCTTCTTTGAACATTAAAATGCCTTTTTGTAGAGTAATTTTTTTAGATTTCTGAACCTTTTAAAATGTGTCTGCAGCATTAAACAACCTAATAAATAAAAATAAAATGAGGAATGCCTTCTATTAACTGTGATAAATTAGTAAAGCAGCCAATTCTGTTGCTTTCATTGGCTGCAGTGCCACAATTTGTAGGTACAACTCCACCCAGAGTTACCTTGAGGTAAGATGGACAGTCTATAAATTTTATAAATAAACAAAGAAACAAGGCCTGCATTCCAACCCTCACCCTTCAGAGTCTCCTTGGAGAGAGGAGTAGGCATTTATTTTAACAAGTTTTAGCTAAGTGTTTTTTATCTCTTTTAGGCAAATTGTTTCTGGTTTGTAAATTACAGCAGAGAGGTAGCTAGTGCACGAAATTTCAATCATTGTCCTTTTTGCATTGCAGGAGCTGGGAGTGAGCACTAATGCAAACTACAAGATAACGTTCATGTTGGATAGTGCTGCCATGATAACTGTGCACACTCCAAGGCGAGGCTTAATTGATGTATGAGCAATTACTTTTCTATAGAGGGGATATTTTCTCAATTTTTAGAAGTCTATTTATTTGTGTAGTCTATTTGTTTATTCTATAAAATGTGGATTGAGGACCCAGTGACTCCCAATGAAACCTTTTCCATCAGCAGTATGTCTGAAGATTATTCTTCACGCTGGCTGAAGAATTCTGGGAGTTGGAAGTCCACAAGTCATAAAAGGGCCAAGTTTGAAGACCCCTGGATTAGAGTATATAGTTCAGTTACTAGTGGAACTCCACAGTAAAAT